ATCAGTATAACTTCAAAAAAAAAAAGCTAAGTGTCTTGCTTAATCTCGAGTGGGGGAATTACCCCTTAGGCATCGAGTCTTATATGTCATTTGTGAAATATGCAAAAAGCCGTGTACGCGAGGTGACGAGTACGTACTCGGGCTTATATGTGAACAATTCATTGAGTTAAAGTCTTGGGCAAATTGTGCAGTAATTTGGATAATTTTTAGTATTTATTAAATCATTTATTTGTCATGCCTAAATCGTTGTTGTTGAATTTGTTTTTATATTATAACTTGATGTGATTGCTACTGGAAAATTTATGTAATTTCGTGAGTATTGTTGGTTTGATATTTCTTGAAAATTAAATTTCAATATGAATTTTCCCTATGCAAATAATTAATTAAGCAAGGTTAAGAAGAAGTATTAATATAATTATCTAAATTTAGATTAATGAAGGCTTTGCTTTATGCTGAGTAATTTCTATCTCTATTGATTATTTTTGGGTGTTATACACATTATGTGGGACCTTCGGTTATTTATTGTGAAATTAATTGAATTGGTTGTATCTTTAAAATATTTATTGTGGCCATTGGGCAAATTGATATATGAATTGATTTTATTATGTTCTCGTAATAATTTTCCGTATAAATTATTGTGTTGTGCGAGTTATTATTTTGGGGGAGATAAATGTGGCATTTCACCGTTGATATTATTTGGATATAAGGGTGTCATTTCATTGTTGTTTTCTTTGTTAGAATATTGTCTGGACGGAGCGATAATGGTGGCTATAGGAGCGATAAGGGTGGCAATAGGAGCGATAAAGGTGGCTATTGATATTGTCTGGAAGAAGTAATAAGGTGGCTATAGGAGTTAAAAGAGTGGCAATAGGAGTGATAAAGGTGGCTATTGTCAGGGACGATATGTGATGATGTAGAGTTGTAATGTTAGTGATTTTCATGTGATGTTGTGATTTTCTTGTGTTTATTTTTATACCTTGTGCAATTTATCTTGTTGTTGGTAAATTGATAACAATATGATTTATGTTGAAATTGAGAGCATGTGGCTATTGCCAGGCGAATTATAAAATAAAATGTAGGCACGAGGTGCCGTGAGTATATAATGGAGATATTGGCACGTGAATTATTAGTGCAGTTGTGATATGAAATGTGGGCATGTGGTACTGTGATTAAATGATAATAATATTGACACATGAACTGTCTGTGCAGCTGTGATATGAAAAGTAGGCACGAGGTGCCGGAGAAATATGATAATTTAATTATGGGCACGAAGTGCCGTGGAAATATAAAAATGGGCTGAGACCCGTGTTTACGAAAAATATGAAAATGGGTTGAGACCCGTATTTTTTATGATTATGAAATGAGGTGTCATATGGTGACTTTTTAATTGAAAGAATTATATTCAAAATATTTATTTGGAAGGATTTTTATTCAAAAAGAATTATATGAGATAATTGTATTTGAAAGATATTTATTTGACGAAATTATATTTGAAAAAGAGTTTTATTCATAAGAATTATATGTGAACGATATTTAATGGAAGAACTTGATTTAATTGGGTATACTTATATATATGAATTTGTTGAACGATATTAATGGTGTTTTTGTTGCCCTGTTATGTATATCACTGGTTGATTTGTGTTGCCTTTATTATTATTATTTGCTTTCTATTATTCTTGTATATCATATTGCACAGGTTTTTAGACTAGTGAGTGTCTTGACTGTACCTCGTCTCTACTTCACTGAGGTTAGTCTTGATACTTACTGGGTACCGACCGTGGTGTACTTATACTACACTTCTGTATATTTTTGTGCAGAGCCAGTATTGGAGATATCGGACTTGGGGAGAGTAAAGCGGGATCGTAAGGATTCAAGGTAGAGCTGATTGGTCGTCGCAGTCCCTTGGAGCCTTTTTATTTCATTGTACTGTTAATTTTTATCAAACATAATTGTATATTCGGTCCTCGTGATCATCCCATGTATTCAGTTAGAGTTCATGACTCAGTACTACCAGTCTTGGGAGATTGTATATTCATATTTGTTCCGCTATTAGTTTTGATTACTTGTTAAATTTTTTTTTAAAAATGGCTTCAAAATGTAATTGAAATCGGCTTACCTAGTTTTAGAGACTAGGTGTCATCACGACGCCTGTGGTGGGATTTTGGGTCGTGATAGATTCATTGATGGACTTACTTTCGGTATCAGGTTACAGATGGCCAGGAGACCAGAGATGATATTTCTTTCCAGAGAGCCGTAGAGATTGCTAGAAGGATCGAGACGATTCGTTGTCAGGGTAGAGAGGCGATATCTGAGAAGAGGCCTCGTCATTTGGTGGTTTCAGTGGTGCCTCGTCTGGAGGCAGAGGTCATTTTCCAACTTCGAATCATATACGCTTAGAGCTTGTCATTTTCTAACTTTAATCTGCTCCCTTCACACATCGTGAAGTGTAATATAAAAACAAATATACTCTTGCTCTCATGAAAATTAGAATAGAAATATAATTATATTTCCTTCTTTTCTATCAAGGTTATGGGGATGATATCCAACATCTTTGGGTTCCACTCCTCTTAGCTTTTTGAATTTTTCTTTTTTCAATCATAAAGGGAAAAATTTACATTTTATCACACCGTGGGTGCGACTAACTTCCCATAAGGTAATTGTATAATTTTTCAAGGTGAGAGAGCTCATTTTTCTTTTTACTAGAGATTCAATAAGGTGACTTGGAACACCAAAACGCAATTCTAAATGGCGATTCCGATTTAATAAAATAATTCATTTTCAAAATGATATTTTAATTGAAAAAACTTTTTTAACTTAATCTATCACACGGGGGTTGGAGAAAAAAAGGAGTGTGACAACAATCACTATATTATACACACACATTGAAAGAATCTCGCACCTTAGTTTTTACATTTATGTATAATATGTCACATTCGATTAACTAATATAGAACATAGAGAGAAATTATATTTTGGATTGATATATATTACAAAGTAACAAAATATTTGAATAATTATTTTTAGAACTTCTAAATAGTTGATATAACCTCTCTTAGTAATAATTAATTATTTTTAGGCCAAATACCTATGCGGTCTTTAAACTTGGCTTCGGTTTTCTTTTTGATATTTCAACTAAGGTTAGTACCTATTGAGCACTCTTAACTTATTTGAGAGTGTATCGATTAAACACAAAGTATGACATGGCAAAAACAAGTGTTTATCACTTTTTCTAAGCGCGTGAACCGGTACCAAAACCATATCTTTTATTTTTTTTAATTATTAAAAACACATTTTTAAACCTGAAATGACCTCACGAAATAACACCGTGAATCACCAATACGTGAACCCAAAACGCCATAACCACCAGCTTCAATGTCTTCCTCTGTCCTTAAAAAAGCACAACTATCTTCAATAAATACAAAACATATATAGCTGCACCACCAACTTTACCAATATTCGACCATCGTCGCACCTCACCTTCACTAAAAAATCTCATATACACAGAGAAAATTACCATTAACACAGAACATGAACCTCCCTTTCAGATTTTTTAATTTCATCAAACATAAACAAATAAGTCAAAGGTACACACAACGATGTTAAACAATTCACATGCTTTCCCTCAATAAAATTTATTGAAACTTGAATTTCTCTTAAATTTCAATTAAAAAACAAGATCTTAAATTTTTATCATCACAAAAAAGCTCAAATTATAAAATAATTAAAACCCATAAAGGAAAAGGGGAAGAAAAAGGAAAAGTGAAAAAGAGAGAGAGAGAAAATCCCCAAAAATTTGAGAATTCATTTACGTTCTCAAAGGGAAAAAGAACCATAGATTTGGAAAAAAATTCAATATATTTGAGTAAGTCCTCTTGTCTTTCTCTATGTTTGCCTTGCCTAAGTATTAGATTGGCATCGTTCTCTAGTGGAGTTCTTCTATTAGGATGATTTTAGGTGGAAAGACATCATTGATGGTAGCTACAATCGAAAGTGACCGAGTGATTTTTATTTGTGGGTGAAAATTGCATGATGATGAATGGTGAAGGAGGAGGAATTGGGAAGAAGAGGGCGGGGAGACGATGGAACTGCTTGGTTGAGGGGGGGAGGGGAATTTCTTTTTTTTCTTAAGATTATTTGGACCCAAATACGACGTGTCTTAGTCTTATTTGTCACTTTGCCACCTCATCCGCGTGTGACTAACACACACTTTATTTTTTTGACTGATAGTAAATGAGTTATTTAATAGGTACACTTTCAACTAAGTTTGAGTACTCAATAGGTACTGTTCTTAGTTGAAGTATCAAAATGGAAACTGAAGCCAAATTAAGAGGTCGTATAGGTATTTGACCTTATTTTTAATATTTTTTTAAAGTTTAATAGATAAAAAGGTAAAATATTTAGTCAAACCTAAAGATCTTTTAAGCCAAAGTCATAAATTGAGTTTTTAATTGTTTTGGTTTAAAATTAGTTAAATAAGCCAAAAAAAATACTTTTAAGCTAAACCAAAAGCCCTACTATTAAGAATCAATGATAGCATAGTTGAAAAGTTTAATTGTTTTTAACCCCGGGAAAAAATTAATCTAATAGAGAAAAAAACAAGAGATTTTTAACCAAAATTGTCATTAAGTATAAGGGTAGGGTTAATAGCACTTTTGGTTCCTCGGTTATTAACGAAATTCCCTTGACTGAGTAAAAGAACGCTACCATTAGAAGCAGGGTTCATGTTGGAGACTCTTCTACCCAATCACACATATGAAAGAACCGTTAGTCCCCGCTTGTAATTATGTTAAATGGACTAAATCTGTTCTATTTTAGCAAATGTAGAGGACGATATGTGGTCAAGTGTTTATTTAAAGGACAATAATGAACTTAGCCTCAAACCTAAAGAATAATTTTGATATAAATAACATCAAATTTAAAAATTCAAATTCTCTGTACTTAGAGTCTGCGATCATACACATCTGTGCGTTCCCAAATGCCTCCATGTACAACGACGCATGAATGAGTAGACATGCTTGGTTTATCAAGCTTGGCCTTGACACTAGTCCTGTTTACGCTACTAAGCTCATCGCTGACTGTGTTATATCTGGAATCCCCAACTCCATTAGCATTGCCCACCAAGTGTTCGACCAAGTGCCTCAAAAAGACACACCCTTATGGACCTCTATCATCTCAGCCTATGCTCGCTCCAATCAACCCCACAAGGCCCTTCATCTCTTCTCCTGCATGCTCCATCAATCTCAATCCAATCCAGATGCTCGGCCCAATCACTTCGTCTTCACAGCTGTGGCTCGCGCCATTGCTTCTGCTCCACAGTACCTGTCTTTGGGGCAAACCTTGCATGCCCACATCGTAAAGTCTGGATATGTTCCTGGAAATATCATCGTTGAGACTGCCTTTGTGGATTTGTATATGAAATGTGGGGTTGCTGAATGTGCCCGGAAGTTGTTTGATGAAATGTCCAATAGAAATTTGGTGACCTGGAACGCTATGATTTCTGGGTATGTTCAGAATGGACAGGAATGTCAAGGATTAGAGTTGTTTTATAGAATGAAGTGCAGAGAACTTTACGTGCCCGATGAGTACAGCGTTGCGACCATTTTATCTGGCTGTGCGTACGTACAAGATCTACTTTTGGGTGTGCAAGTTCATGGTTATGCATTTGTTCGTGGGTTTGAGTCGAGTTGTAGAAATTCTCTTGCTAACATGTACTTTTATTGCGGTAGACTTGCATCGGCTGAGAAAGTTTTTGTTGGATTGGAAAGGAATCTTGTTTCGAAGCTTGTGAAGATAAGGGGTTATGTATTTAATCACATGTATGCTGATGTCGTTAAGTACATTTTGTCAATGGAGAATGCTGTTGAAATTTTTGTTGCAGATCAGACTATTTTCGTGCCTCTGCTAACTACTTGTGCTAAGATGCATTTGCTCAATGTTGGGAAGCAAATCCATGGCCTCTTTATCACTTTGGTGGATTCATATAGCACTGCTGATTCATTAAAAGAGAGCAGAGTGATTATTAGTAGTGCACTCATGGACATGTACAGCAAGTGCAGTGATATTGGTAAAGCTCAAAAAGTTTTTGAAAGTTGGCTACCTGAACAACACGTTCCACTGTGGAATTCATTGTTGTCTGGTTATATTCATAATGAATTCATTGAAGATGCTAAGGCACTCTTTGAGAATATGCCCGAGAAAACTATTGTTTCTTGGACTAGCATGATGACAGGGTATGTGCAAAAGGATTTGCCCCAAGAAGGCTTAAATTTATTGGCTAAGATGTATTCTGGAAAAGAAGGATCTATACTAGAAGGAAACTGCTTGACCTTTGTGGTGGCTCTTGAGGCATGTACTCATCTAACTGATTTGAACAAAGGAAAGCAAATACATGCGAAAATTATTAGAGCGTTACCAGATGCGTATGACAATGTGGCTGTTGGTACAGCTTTAGTTGATATGTATTCAAAATCAGGTAATTTGTGTTACACACTACGACTTTTTGATGCAATGGAAGAGAAAAATGTTGTTTCATGGACTTCTGCAATCATGGGATTTGCTGTTCATGGATTTGCCTCCCAAGCCCTTGAACTCTTTCAGCGTATGGTAAACATGGGGATTATGCCCAATGAAGTGACATTTATTGCAGTATTAACTGCTTGTAGTCATTGTGGGTTGGTTGATGAGGGAATGCAATACTTTACGCAAATGAGGAAGCGATATGGTTTGATGCCCGAGGAAGAACATTATACATGTCTAATTGATTTATTAGGACGTAATGGAAGGCTTGAGGAAGCATGGAATTTGGTGGAGGGAATGGAAGAGAACTATCTAAGTGATGGGAGATCTACTGGTGCCATTTGGGCCGCACTTCTAGGGGCCTGTCAGTTGCATGGAAACGTCGAAATTGGAAAGAAGGTAGCTGGAAAGATGATGGAAAGGGAGAAACAGATTTCTACTGCTTTCGTTGCGCTATCTAATGTTTATGCAGCGGCTGGGATGTGGAATGAAGTGTATGGAGTGAGAGAGAGTTGGAGAAAAGAAGGTCATGCCGATGGAGAGCCTGGTCTTAGCCGTATATGTGCACAACCTTAGTTGATACATAGTTCTTAAAGTTCTTAGACAGTTTTTGTTGTCCTTTTATTTAATTGGTGAGGCATTAGTGTTTTACAATGAGCAAAATTATTTCGAGGTGCAACATTTCCTTGTAAAATGCGAAAACCTGTGGGTGCTTCCTTTTGGATTATTTGCACGGTATGGTTTTCCTGAGGCCACTTAAATTATGTCCCCCTGTAGTTCAGTGTGCTAAATTTTGGATTTAAAAGTTATCTAGCTCATTGGTGTAACAGGGCGCTGAATTTAAGGAGTGTCCTCAAGAAGGGCCATTTGTGCAAATGCCCCTTCCTTTTTATGACTTGTTCGAGTTCTGCTTACATGTTGATGGGCTCCTTGAAGCTTGTCCCAGGCGTTTAAGTGGGGGAAGTGTACAGATAGCCACTGATTAGAGATGTCTTTATTTTTTAGCCACTGTTTTAAATGTATTTACTCTTTAGCCAGTGCTTAATAAATTTTTACCCGCCGGACAAAAATACCCTTGTGCTAGACATAGGTGTTGTGTAAATATTAAGGACATGGTGTCCTTAACTTCATGAATGTTGTGTAAATATTTAGGACAAAGTGTCCTGTATTTGCACCTTCTGCTGCTAAACTTTAGGAGATCATGTCCTTAACTTCATATGTGCAGTGTAAATGTTAAGGACATGGTGTCCTTAACTTCATGAATGTTGTGTAAATATTTAGGACAAAGTGTCCTGTATTTGCACCTTCTGCTGCTAAACTTTAGGAGATCATGTCCTTAACTTCATATGTGCAGTGTAAATGTTAAGGACATGGTGTCCTTAACTTCATGTGTGCAATGTAAATATTAAGGACATAATATCATTAACTTGTATTTGCAACTTCTGTTGTTAAATTTTAGGACACCATGTCCTTAACTTCATATGTATAGTGTATGTTAAGGACATGATGTCCTTAACTTCATGTATGCAATATAAATGTTAAAGACATAATGTCCTTAACTTGTATTTGCACCTCATGTTGTTAAACTTTAGGACATCATGATCATAACTTCATATGTGCAGTGTAAATGTTAAGGACGTGGTGTCCTTAACTTCATGTGTTCATTAATGTTAAGGACATAATGTCCTTAACTTCATGAGTGATGTGTAAATATTAAGGACAAAGTGTCCTATATTTGCACCTTCTGCTGATAAACTTTAGGACATCATGCCCTTAACTTCATATGTGTAGTGTAAATGTTAAGGACATGGTGTCCTTAACTTCATGTGTGTAATATAAATGTTAATGACATAATATCATTAACTTGTATTTGCAACTTCTGTTGTTAAACTTTAGGGCATCATATCCTTAACTTCATATGTATAGTGTAAATGTTAAGGACATGGTGTTCTTAACTTCATGAGTGATGTATAAATATTAAAGGCATAGTGTCCTTAACTTCATATGTGTTGTGTAAATGTTAAGGACATGGTGTCCTTAACTTCATGTGTGCAATGTAAATGTTAAGGACATATTGTCCTTAACTTCATGAGTGATGTATAAATATTAAAGGCATAGTGTCCTTAACTTCATATGTGTTGTGTAAATGTTAAGGACATGGTGTCCTTAACTTCATGCATGCAATGTAAATGTTAAGGACATAATATCATTAACTTGTATTTGCAACTTCTGTTGTTAAACTTTAGGACATCATGTCCTTAACTTCATATGTGCAATGTAAATATTAAGGACATGATGTCCCTAACTTCATATGTGCAGTGTAAATGTTAAGGACATGGTGTCCTTAACTTCATGCATGCAATGTAAATGTTAAGGACATAATATCATTAACTTGTATTTGCAACTTCTGTTGTTAAACTTTAGGACATCATGTCCTTAACTTCATATGTGCATTGTAAATGTTAAGGACGCGGTGTCCTTAACTTCATGTGTGCAATGTAAATATTACGGACATAGTGTCCTTAATATTTTACACATCACTCATGAAGTTAAGGACATCATGTCCTTAATATTTACACATCACTCATGAAGTTAAGGACATCATGTCCTTAATATTTACACATCACTCATGAAGAAAGGGTAAAAAAGACTTTTCGTATCAATTTTAATAGAGTAGTGGCTATTTTTGCTCAACATTAAAAACACTGGCTAAAAAGTAAATACCACTTAAAAAAGTGGCTATACCATGCCATTTCTACCGTTTAAGTTGTATAATAGTATTTTTGTTTACCCTTAAATCGGATAACAATTACATTTGTACGCGGGTTTAAGGATATGTGGATTGATTCAATACAAATAATCAAGAATATTAGATAAACGAGTTAAAGACAAAATGGATGATCAAACCAGTTGTAATGCTACGTCCTAGCCTGAACCTAGGTTGAACGGTAGTTTGCCCTCGATCAGACCCATGGTTCGAACCCAATCGTGAATGAGGAACAAAACAGCTAAGTGAGAACTTTTGCAGTAGCTAGAAAGCGGAAAATGAATTTTTATTGCCTTGGTTCGCGTGTTACAATGTGTGTCTCAAAAGAAAAAATCTCCCTTTTATATAGTAAGAAAGTTTCATCCCTAGTACAAGTCTAAAAAAGGTAAAAATCTTCCTTTCTCGTTAATTACTGATCTGTAACCGACGGCGTCGTGATATCCGATCAGGTACGAATATTACGGCCCTTTATCCGTCGTGTGTAACCATTTACCGTATTTTTCGAGGTTTTAGAACTCTTTCTAGGTCCGAGGAGCGTCTCTTTATCACGCCCGGTATGAACACATCGTTCTTCTTTCGTGGGTCTCGATACGAAAGGTTCCGGGCCTCAATTTCAGTTTCGTGCGTTTATGTCCTTCTTCCGTTTTCTTCACCGGGAAATGAGGATATGCTCTATCCCCGATTCTACCCGTATACAACTTTTATTTGCAATTCTTTTGTTTAATCTTAGCTTAGAAATATGAAAAATAAATACATTTTCATATTTTAGTGCCTTCGACATGTTGTTATCAATTGAACATTATTGGGTCAGCTATTTGACATATTATTTCATAGACCCGTATTTCTGTTGTTTATTGATAGTGATCGTAAACAAATGCAATGCCTGCTTACCTAGAAATCCGAAATGTTATACTCCTATTACTTATGCTACTGCTAAAGGAAGCCATGCTTAGTTCTTCCTTTAGCAATGAATAAGCAACTGAGGCCAATACGTGACCAAGTTCAACTTGAGGTTCAATAGGCAAGGATACACTGAGTAATTTCTACTAGAATGTAATTTAGTTACAATGTTTGTAACTCTAGATATCTCACCTTGAATCAATTCAAATTTCAGATCAAGAAACTGGCGAATTGACATTTTTCGTGCTTTGGTACGAGTTGATTTTCCTTTTCCTCCCCAAATCGCCTCTTTCTAACAAGGAATAAAAAGAAAATTCAGAGAGAAGCCAGTATATACTATATGTACCGGAAGATATTAAATGGTAAAAAGTTATTCGTACATGGTGTTTATATCAAATCACATTAATTTAACATGGTTAAGTAATGAATTAAGGTAAAAATATGTATTAATTAAATATAGTTTAGTGATAAGAGTGACATGTCTAGACATATGTCATGTATTCATTTGATTGGTATAAACATCGAGGGTACTAATTTTTTAATCATTTTTCAAGTATGCGACCTTAGAAAACACAGTGATATAATGTGACAAAATAAAACTTTAGGTCCGCGCCAAATTCGTTCTCAAGTTTGTCTTTTCACCAAATATCTCTTCAAATTCTCCCAACCATTATATCACCCATATTCTGCGGGAAGTTCAACGGAAAACATCTCCCAACATTTCTCCTTCTCTGCTAAAAATAGCTCCTTCCTAATTAGCCAAACCGTTTCGTAGGTTTTCTCTTTTTAGACAGCCTTAATTAGCTATCCTTAGCCATAATAGGTATCTTTATATACACCATATTTACATTCACAGATCCAGAAAATTTCTAAAGGTGTTTACAGTTCTCATTCTTTTGATGCTATCAAGATTGAGTTCTTAGAAGTTGGCCTAGACATTTGTTAGATTTTGCAGATCAAACTTTTAGCTCTTTATAGAAGGCAAATAGCTCTTAAGGATTGCCTAAATCAATTTATAGCATCAAGATTATAGAATTTGTTTTTACCCTTTTCTTTTTTAGAAAATTTAAAGCCATTCCTGCAAAGGATTGATTAAAAAACATGGGTTGTTTTTCATGTTTTTCGTCGAATGAAAAGAAGGTATTCAAAAGAATACACAGCAACAAAAGAGAAACATCTGCAGCTGCTGTTGCTAATCACAGGGAAAGTCTCCAACAATGTGCACAATATTCTTTATCGAGGCCAAAATCACAGCAAGAGCTGCGTTCTCATTCTCATTCTCAGCGTCCACAACTTCCCTCTGGTAAGGTTGTCGCAATTTCTTGGGTATGACCATATGAAATGTTTCATTAAAATGATAACTTTAAAACAGCATTTTGGTGACTTTAAAAAACATATGAAAATTTTCGATTGTTTTATAATCGAAAAATTCCCGAGGATCAGCTAGCGTACTGTTCTAAATTTGGTGTTAATGGCCCACTCATCTATAATTATCGACTTAAATACAATGCTTTTAGTCCACTGCAAGGTTCCAATTACGCCTAGCTAGAGGCGAAACCAGTATTTGAAGTTTATGAATTCGGGATTCTAGTCATTTTAAGTTACTGGGTTCTAATTTAATAATTTGTAGATATTCAATGGATTTTGCAAGACAAATACAGGGTTTGAACCAAAGTTATTGGGTTTGACCGAACCCATATTCGAAAGGCTAGCTCCGCCCCTGCGCCTAACCCACATATCACGGGCTGTGTTCTTGCCATTGAAAGACTGGGGGACTGTTCTTCCCAACTTTTATAACAACAAAACAGTAAAAGAGAGGGGGGCTATTGTAGACCTAAAATAAATAAGTGATCTCTCTCTCTGGTAGTATAAAGTTTTAGATAAGATGTTCACACAATTCGATATGGTA